ATTTCATTAGTGCTGTCAACTTCCAACAGTATCTTTTACGAAAATGAGTGACTTTGAAATAACGAAGACTGGTTACAAAGCCATGCTTGTATTAAAGGTGAAGAACTAACTATATCCACTTAAGCGTTTCGGCTTCAGACACGTACTCCAATATCAGTTACATTCATATTATTACCGAATTAGGACTGCACACTACAGAATAATTATAAACAGCACGTGATTAATAATATAGTGGCCAAAATATACCGCTGAATCAAGTGATAATTTATTAAAACGAGTACGTATGGTGCTGGTTGAAAGTCATTAGACTATTATCCAAATGGAGGGTCAATAATCGTGCATTGATTAAGAAGATTGACGTAAAGGCCGTAGTATGGTGATTGTTCATGCAAAAGAAAACATCTTGTTCTTACATTTAGCTTTATAAACACTTCACTAATTATGGGCGAAATTTTTGGTTTCTATTTTACTTTCAAAGCGATCTCTGTGTTTTCCAGAAAAATTGGCTCACAGACCAAGGAATAAATTTGACTTAAATTACTTCAAAAACTATTATTTTATGCAAACATTTTATTGATAATGAAATGAATTTAAGACGGATTTATCGAGTGTGTGACTTCTCGCTCTCCGGGCAACATTTGGCGAGCAATAGAATGCATTGTGATGATCCATGGATGATTCGTTGTTGTGTGCGGTCATGATATTAGTATAAATGAGATTGTAAGTGGTACTGAGTTCTGATGAGAATAGAGGCTTACCAACTGTCTTGTTAAATTGATTTGAATTCGCATTTCAGCAGTAGCTACGGTATTCTGCCGAGTCTCATTGTACAAGTGGTTTATCAAGCACGAGTTTGAAGGTTTGACCAGAGTACCGCTGACCAGATAATTCGGTTGCCAAAAATAACATACTTTGTTAAATAACCGGTTCGCTGACCTTCGTTAGTGAGGATGGTAAAACAGAAGAGCGAGATGTTTTTCTTATTACCTCAGATGCCAGGCTCCTAGACTTTATTTTTGTGAATATGATACCTCGTTTTTTGGTCATGTTTCCACCCACTGATTGATTTTCTGCTTTTCATAATGGTAGAGGTTTTCTCCCTTTATCTTTTGTTCATGGCGAATCTGCTCGAATGTTTTTCGTTTTTTCGCTCCTACAGCAAAGTTCTGTATGAATGGCATGTGTGCTGGGGTTTGCCTCCCATTTTCCTCAAGCACAGATTGCGGGTTGTAATAATTGAACGATGTCATTTGGGTCTCTTTTGACAGTAAAAATTTATTGATATTCAGACCGAAACAAAGCGCAAAATTAATTTTATTCATTATTAAGACTTAAAGCAGAATATCGATTTTAGTCAGTTCTTCCACGCAAGCAGATATGTATGAAATTGCATTGGTTGGTCATCAGCCTTATTTAGGTTTGTTCTGGCTTGCTGCTTGGGCGAAAGACCCCATAGATTTTTAGTTTCGGTAAACAGCAAAAAGCAACGAATTAAACGGCATACTAATAAATTTTGTAATGTTATGTTCTACGATGATAGTACAGACTAAAGTAATCGGTAATAAGCAATTCACCAATTTCGTCGTTTCTACCGTAATACGGTTTTATCCAGGTTCGATGCATCTGCGATGTTCAGCGAGATCTTCCAGCTGGCTTCCATTGTATAAATTTTTAGAGCATAGTTTTACGTGCAACGTCAGACGGTATGGCAAATAAAACAAAACTTTAAGACAGACAAAAGAAATGAATAATCGCTTTTAAATAAGCAATTATTACTTTGGGATTACGCCGCCACTTGAGTATGAGGTAACATTCCTGTTTACTTTACATTGAAGCGTATCAACCGTTGTCGATCAACTCATCTTACGTTGTAAACAAAGTAACATGGCAAATAAATAGAATGAAGTCGATTTCGGATAAGAATTCAATTTCCCGTTAGACGAACGAATGTAGATAAAAATGAACGATCTCTCCAATTGAAATGTCGACACCCTCTAGATGACCGCTTCTGTTTTTGTGCACATTCTTCTATTTAAATGAAGAAGGGCAGAAAATAACTGAAGCATCTAGAATCAACTGTTTGTAGTGCAAATTCAGCTAGTACATAACATGGAGTGCGTCAGTTCTTTCGATGGTTGCTATTTCCGTCCCTGAATTGTGGGGGAGGTGTCATCGAGTGATTGACATGATTTATCATCTTCGACTAATAAATAACCAAGTTCGCATGTTGAAACTGGGGAAAACAAAAAAAGCATATGGAAATTCAAACAGTTCTGTTACGGTGTGTTTGCTATTCTCATTTCTGTCCTCACCACGCTGAAGCCTTTTAATGAATTATGTGCCCCCTGTTTTTCCCTCTTAACGGGTACCAGATCCATTAATAAGGCTTAACGGCTCTGTTCGTTGTCTCTTAGATTCTTTGGCACCCAGTCACTTCGCAAACTGCTACTTTCTTATTGCAGTTTTGCGTATGTCGCAAATCCAATGCTGATCCTTGTTATCTTCTACACATTGTTATCAACTTCGTACCTTAACAGTTTCTCATTTCTCTGAGCCTGTGATCGCAGATGATGAATTTTAAGAGACGAATTAGTTGTTTATGGGTGGCGTGAGATACTGGGTCTTGGAGAACGATCTCAAGATAATCAGTCTTGCGCAATT